TACGTGATGTGTTATTAAATTGGTTTAAGAGTTATTTATCAAACAGAAAACAATTTGTCAAAATAAAAGGTAATACTTCGTCTATACAAACAGTTGTATGTGGAGTGCCACAAGGGTCTATTTTAGGCCCGCTTTTATTTACTCTTTCTATTAATGACATTTGCAATATATCGGACAAATTAAAATATATCTTATTTGCAGACGACACCAGTGTGTTTATGTCTCATAAAAATATTCAAAGTTTACAACAGGACTTTGGTAATGAAATAAACAAGCTATTACATTGGCTTTCTTTGAATAAATTAATTTTGAATGTTAATAAAACTAACTAAATGGTATTTACAAAACTACAAAAAATAGATTTTAATGAGGTTGATCTTCAGGTGAATAATCATGAATTCCAACGTGTATCTGTAAACAAATTCCTCGGAATAGAAATTGATTCTAAGCTTACATGGAATGAACACACTGGTGCTGTCTGCAACAAGATCTCAAAAACTACTGGCATTCTAAACAAACTTAGATTTCTACGAAAATGTGTTTTAAGAACTTTATATAATACTTTAATTCTTCCTCATTTATATTACTGTTCTGAAGTATGGGCCATGACAAACCAAACCAATCTGAATAGGATACTCAAAATGCAAAAGAAAGCCATCCGGGTAATTTCAAATTCACACTACAGAGCTCATTTGAAACATATATTTTATAAATTAAAGCTTCTCAATGTATTTGATATCTGTAAATATTGCTCCGTTTAGTCTCATTTTACAACGCCCCCTATCGTCAGAGCATGGTCAGAGTCAGCAGCCTAACATGTTAGCCTATGGACGTTTTTTTTGTAAATCGTTAAAAATTCATTTTTTGTTTAAACGAAAAGCACATCCACCCCGACGTACGTTATCACTAGCTCTTTCATTGGAGCCCTCATGTCTCATTGACTTTTGAAAGTTCACCCACCGTAATTTTTCAAAATAGGTTGTAAGCTCGTCATTGCCTATAATACGCATGTGCAACAAGTCTAACTTTGGACTCAGTTTGCCAAGCGATTTGAAGATTATAGGTCGAGCACACGAAACATAAAAAGCATGAATTATCATAGATCACTTCTGCCTATTTCATTATGTCCATTTCATCCAACCCTCACCGTAATTTTTCAATTTAGTAAGAGCAAACATTTAGCCGAGGTAAGCAAAAACCTGAATATTCATGACACACCATGGACTATTCGGTACCGTTATTAACAGAGGGGTGCAATCGGTCATCACGTCAAACTCCCCTAATTGCCACCAAGTATTTCATATAATTATATAGTTTGGTATGTTTCTTTTACTCACTCATGAAGTATTGAATATCAATGATGGTTTAAAGAAATGTAAAAGAAATTTTAGTTGATATTTATTAACAAAGTAATTTATATTTAGCAAAGGAATCTCACATACAAAATTACTATCAAGTGTCGTCTGCTACGCCGATTGTCGCCTGCTTCGTTAAAGGCACATATTTATCGTTTGGACTGTAAAGCTACAGTCCCATATACGTCCCGGACCGTCCCGGACCATCCCGGACCCCATCCGGGGTGATCCGGGATTCGGTCCGTGTTGTCACCGTGTTGGCACCGGGGTGGTCCTGGATGGTCCTGGATGGTCCTGGATGGTCCTGGATGGTCCTGGGCGGTCCGGGAGTCGACCCCGGATGTTTTTGACGGTCAAAAACTGCCGGGGTGGTCCGGGACGGTCCGGGACAATAGTTTGATCCGGGGTGATCCGTGTAGCCACCGTGCTGGGTCCGGGGTCATCCGTAGTGGCGCCGGGGCGGTCCGTGTTGATCCGTGGCAGTCCGGGAGTGAGTTATTGACCGCCCAGGACTATCCAGGACCATCCAGGACCACCCCGGTGCCAACACGGTGTCAACACGGACCGAATCCCGGATCACCCCGGATGGGGTCCGGGATGGTCCGGGACGGTCCGGGACGTATATGGGACTGTAGCTTAAAAGCATCACACTTTTTTGAACAAAACATCCCGGACCATCCCGGATCACCCCAGACCATGGTCCGGGATGGTCCGGAGTGGTCCGTGCTCGTCCGTGCTGGTCCGGCTTTATATGGGACTGGGGCTAAAGGTATACCAGGGAGATTTGTATTTTCCTGCAGTACAACGTATAGCAGGAAAATGTTGTATATGCGGATCCTTTAATGATTACGTAATGGAAGTGGCGAGGCGGTATGGTTTGAATAACTTAGGCAGGTGAAAGTTATTGTATTGAGAAGGAAAGGAATGTTCAGAAAGGCATAGAGAGGGAAGTGGGCGTGGTAGCCATTCTAGCTTTGCACCTACATCAGTACGAGAATACACCCGACGGCGCGGTGGCCTGTACTTAAAGCGCGCGAACACATCACACCCAATGGCATACACCCGGTACCCTGCAACACAGTGGAACATTCTAAGAAATTAAAAAATTATCTACAAAATGGACCTCTTGAATCATATGAGAAGTAACTTACCCTATTCTGATGACTTCAATGAATGTCAAGATAACAATGGCTGCTTTTCCATCCAAAAATAAAACTAGTTTGCAATTAGAAATAGTCAATTTCTCGATAACTTCACAAAATTTAGTAAGAGCAAACATTTAGCCGAGGTAAGCAAAAACCTGAATATTCATGACACACCATGGACTATTCGGTACCGTTATTAACAGAGGGGTGCAATCGGTCATCACGTCAAACTCCCCTAATTGCCACCAAGTATTTCATATAATTATATAGTTTGGTATGTTTCTTTTACTCACTCATGAAGTATTGAATATCAATGATGGTTTAAAGAAATGTAAAAGAAATTTTAGTTGATATTTATTAACAAAGTAATTTATATTTAGCAAAGGAATCTCACATACAAAATTACTATCAAGTGTCGTCTGCTACGCCGATTGTCGCCTGCTTCGTTAAAGGCACATATTTATCGTTTGGACTGTAAGGTATACCAGGGAGATTTGTATTTTCCTGCAGTACAACGTATAGCAGGAAAATGTTGTATATGCGGATCCTTTAATGATTACGTAATGGAAGTAGCGAGGCGGTATGGTTTGAATAACTTAGGCAGGTGAAAGTTATTGTATTGAGAAGGAAAGGAATGTTCAGAAAGGCATAGAGAGGGAAGTGGGCGTGGTAGCCATTCTAGCTTTGCACCTACATCAGTACGAGAATACACCCGACGGCGCGGTGGCCTGTACTTAAAGCGCGCGAACACATCACACCCAATGGCATACACCCGGTACCCTGCAACCCTATTCTGATGACTTCAATGAATGTCAAGATAACAATGGCTGCTTTTCCATCCAAAAATAAAACTAGTTTGCAATTAGAAATAGTCAATTTCTCGATAACTTCACAAAATATATTTGCCGCCGCATTCAATATGACGTCATTGACAGCTGATTTGCTAGTTTGGAAGTGACGTCGAACGAGCTATGTTTGTGCTGCAGTGATCGAGCGAGCGAAAATGAGACAATCGGAGCAATATGCTCCCAATTTTTTAATTATTAATAATTATTGCCAATTTTATATTGAATTAAAGTGCCGTGTAAACGTTTTACTTAAATTACACATTTGCTTATTATATGAATTTTCAAAATAATTTAGAATGTAACAAATTTAATACCAATTTAATTTACTGGATATATTTGTAGGAATAATGCATTATTACCATCACTCAATTTAGGTTTACTGTCTCTCTCTTTCTTTCATTATCTTTCTCAATTTTAATTGTTGAATAATACGTTGATGTCAGTTGATATATGATTATTGGTCCTGTGAAGTCCTATGTACCTTATAATTAAGTTTAAATGCGATTGCTCTTGAGTGTTTTTTTTTCTTTCTTCTTTTCATATCTATGTATTTAAAGTGTTAATTTATACAGTTTTATTGTACAAAGTATATATACATATAACTATGTTGTGACCCATTTATATGCCTGCCTTTTTTACTGTATGAAATCCAACTTATGGTTGCAATAAATGAATGATTTAATTTAAAAACGAGTATACAGTATAGTCGTGATACAGGCCCCATGTTCGTGTTGTAGATCATGCAACGCCGTTGCGCGGGGTCTGTAGTAGTCTCGTATAGTTTGCTCGTGATACAGGCCCCGCAACTATATCACGAGAATGCCCATTTGGTACCAGGCATACTCGTGATATATACTAGTATAGTAATTAAGTTAAAAAGCAAATATTGCGGAGCGATTAAAAAATTGAGAACGAACATGCACGTGGTAGATATGATAATGCATATCTGCGATCACGACTGCATCACCAATCTCTAGCTAGCTATAGCATAGAAATAAAGATCGGTTAGCGCGCTGCATGTAATTTCTATGACATGCAATGAGGGGTATGATTGGTTAACATTATTGTGTTTTACTTACGGTACTAAATTAGATAGGCAATTGCGTTGATGAAAACTAAAGAGCTTACGTTGGTAAAATAATGTTAAAAATTAGTATACGTTAGCTTTACATCGTTTTAGTATCGTAACTGTTAAGTAACGCAAACACTACTCTGCAAAATCATTGGCTACTAAGCGTACGTTATTGTTTCCTTAGTGATTACGTTACTAGTTAAGTTTATGGCGGCGATGGCCTTCCATATACTAATGCTTACAAACGTCCTCGTGTACTAGTACACAGTGGCGTACGCAGGATTTTTTCAAGGGGGGGGGGGTTAAAATTGGGTCAAAAATTTCGCAACGACTCGGGGGGGGGGGTCCCGAAATTCGAAATTTTGGCCCATCGACATTCCGTTCCGTTGGGGGAGGGTAAGGTCATCTTTTTTAGGTCATCTTTAAGTTTTTATTTAAAAACAAAAACAAAACACTCAAAAGGGGGGGGGGTATCCCAAAAACATACACATAACAATAGATCAAGGGGGCGTTTAACCCCAACCCCCCCCCCCCCACCCTGCGTACGCGCCTGCTATTACATGTGAATAAGAGAAAGTACGCACGCCGCACGTCTGTGAAGTAGGGAAAATGCAAATTCATATGACCACTAGTCTTGGTGCCAATATATGCTACCATTTTATTTGGACTTCTGGATTTTGGAGGCGTCTTGGTGTTTTTGTTTTTTGTCGTCTAACTTGTCTCGGATAAGATTATCAGTATGGTATGTTATTATGTAATTAAGATCTGTTGAATTCAAAGACATTAGTGAGTGTCAGTGCAGTGAGTGTTGAATGGTATTTAGATCACAACATGACTTAAAAACTAGAAATGCAATCGTGTCAGAACGATGTGCGTGCAATGACGCCGTGTTTCTACGTGTCAAACGAAAGAGCTTCTCTCGGACTATCCAGAGCAATTTGCACGAAGTCTGTAGCTTCTGTGATATTGGAGATAGGTAGGGCGAAAGAAAGGCATCAACAGTGACCTTGATGGGATGGTACTATGCCTACGAAGTTTGAAAGAAATTGGGATAGGGGAACGAACCTAGAAAGGGCTCGCAAGCACTGCGTGCACAAACCAATGGGATTTGGTGCATGTTTGACATTGCAATCAAGTTCGTTCTGGGGGCCAAAAGCGTGAACCCGATATGCCCCATAGACAATGCGTGTAATGAATGGGCGGAAAACGTGCAGATCTGTATTATGACCGGAGTTAAATTGTTTTTTCTCTCTCTCTTTACGTCTCTTTATGGGCCGTATTTGGTATCATTAGAAAGAGAATTTCATGGTTGTTATTGTAAACCACTCTCTTTTTTTCTATGATAATCCTATCGAAACACGTGATGTAAAATAGATTTATAGGACAAAAAGGCGTCTTAAATGGCCCCCTTGACCAATTTAAAAAATCCGGCCAAGAGGTGCCCTGCGTATTGGAACTCGGCATGTCACTGCAAATTTTCAAGGAAAAAAAAGGACGTTTAAGGGGCGAAAAGCAGTCTGAAAAAATGACGTCATAGCCGAAACGTGTTAGGTTCGGGCGGAAACTCGGCGGAATTCGTGTAGTGATCTTTGTTCAAATGCGATTTACTCACAATTTTCTGTGTGAACATATATAATACTTGGTATCATCCGAAAGGGCACTTCATTGCGGTCAGTTTGACACCATTGTTGACTGCGCGCAATGTATTGCGCGCATTGAACGCGCTATTACGTAATCCATAGTAAATTCATCATTTTTGGCGATAACTTTGCGCTGACATATTTGAATTTTACCAAACTTGGTAAACAGTTGTCACATATATGGATACATATGTCTGCAAAGTTTCATTGATGTAGGTATAACGATCGCCATTTTAGAGCAAGTTGAAGTTATTTCGGAATTTTCTTGAAAATGGCGAATTTGGAGGGCAATTTTCTCAAATTTGGTCAGTGATAGGGTATATAATTTTGTATATGGCTGGAAAGGGCATATCTTCAAGTATCTAAATCCAAAAAAGGGTACGGGTTTGCCAAGCCATTATGGAGATACGGCCACAGACAGAAAGCCAATTCCCAGAACTTTAGAGGGCGCTATTTATGTTGTGCAAAGCCATTGGAGCGTGAAATTTGGCATGGCTATGTGCAATTATGAGATAAAGATACTGTGAGATTTAAATACAAAACGGAATTTATATGAGAAAGTTATGGTAGTTTTAGATTATTTAGGGGTCCATTTTTCAAGAACTTGAGAGATTTTTGACGGAGTCGGTTTTAGATTTGAATTTCGAGTATGAAGATGGCATTTTGAAGGTCAAGTCATTTGTCGCAGATGAAAGAACATCTCTCGGACTATCTAGAGGAATTTGATAGAAGATTGTAGGATCTATGATAGTAGAGATAGGAAGGAAGATATAAAGGCCTTAAAATGGACCAGAAACGGACAAAATGGCGCCTGGACGGTCATGCATGAGTGATTTCGAAAATCGAAGAATGTAGTGACCTTGATGAGATGTTAGAGACTATGCCTATGAAATTTGAAAGGAAAAGGACATGAGGAAAGCACCTAACTAGGAATAACAAGCACTACGTGCAAAACGAATGGGATTTTTGGACGATAAGGAAAAGGAGGAAAAGGAGAATATTAATGGGGCAGAATGTGAACGAAAACAAGGCAATGACGAAGGTCGTCATTGCAAAAATACGTAGAACTTACTTACTGAGGCGGCGAGGGTACCTACAATGTACCAGCACAGCACAGCTGCAGCCTGGCTGCCCCGCCCCGACAGCGTCTCTATTACGGAAGGTAATATTTGAATATAGACCCTATGAATATTTGCGTTGGTACGGTGAGGTGGAGATCAAATTCAAAATTAAATCGGCCAGATTCTGGACTAAATTAACCAGTATATCGCAATGATTATGGAGAAGTTACGACCTGGGTAGTCATTCGTTTACGGTAAGCCTCCCGATTTTGTCGCAATATCACTTATTTAAAGTAGACTAAACTTAGCTTTGCATTTGTAATTTTTGTATGAAATCTCATATTTGATAAATTATCGCATCAGATTCTGTGTGCGTGCGTATCATGAATATTGATGACTAGCGCATGACGTATAGGTCCTATTGAGCCAATCAAATGCAGCGACAGGATAAAACCTTACGGGGAAAAAAAGACACGCCCCGGCACCGGCAGGTGCTGAGCTAGCCCGAATTTTCTGTCTCTTTCGTCCGTTAAGCCTCTTAGGGTACGTTTATGCTCAATTTTAAAGGCAGAATGAGCGATTTGAAACGCTCATCGTAAAGGCTCATCGTAATCGCAGTTCCACGGTGTATTGTTTATGCTCACTTCTCTGGCTCCTCCAGGCACGATTCTGGCTCAGAGCCTTCTCCTTCATCTTTTTGTTCTTGTACTTATTATCATTTCTATCATCAGTTTAAAGTTGTTAATATTATCATCATTATTATCTTTAAAAGTTTTTTTGCTTATCTGTCTGTAAATATTACTACTTTAACTCATTAATTTTATACATGACTGTCCGGGACCCCACTTGAAAATAAGCTCTCGAGTTTGCGTGGGCTATCCTGTTCAAGCTGACTTCATTTTGATCTGTTATTCTTGTATATTGTTGTATGTTGGAAGCTTGGCGAATATAAATCAATCAATCAATCAGGAGTATATTCCTCGTGGTGTAAGTCCCGTCCTTTGGGAAATTTGATGATCTTAACTCGCAAGGGGAACTCGCACCACGAGGAATATATCAACAGTTTTATCGTGTTTTAAGTCAGATTCTTTTGATATTAGCGATAAACTATAACAGCAAATGTTCATTTAACACCTCTAGGTAAATTGAATATGATCAAAAATATGACCCTAAACACTATAAAACTGTCTCTATATTCCTCGTAGTACGAGTCCCCCTTACGTGTATAACAAAAAGTTTTTTAAAAAGGAGAATTTTCTCACGAATTATGAAAAAAGAGCTCTTACCCCCTCCCCCCCCCCCCCTCCCCCGCTTATTCACCGGCTGGCTGAGCCACCGCTAAAAGTCCCCTCCAATATTGGCTAATAAAGAAGGGGAAAAAATAGTGCTCTTACAATATTAAGCGAAAGATAATCATAACTTTTGGCTGCCTTACCGAATAGCTCAACAATATATTTCCCTGTTTTTTTTTAAAGATAGTTTTTGAGCATCATTTTAGTGAATAGAAAACCGTTTAGAATGCGAAATTCGATTGAAGTTCTCTTACGCACACTTTCCTCCGTGAAATGCATTTTTAAAAAAAATCGTTTTCGAGGGTTGCCAATGAAAAATGAATAAACAGTAGAAAGAGACCCTAAATAAAGAAATAAACAGCTTGGTCGGTAAGGCATTAAATTCAAAAACCCGGACAGCTTTATCTTTATTATCCATATAAATAACGTCTATTATCACTCTCAGATGGAAGATAATACCAATACGAAATGCATTAAGCACGTCTAGACATAAAGGTCGAATCATCAACTTTATTTTTCTTATTCTTCTTTTACATTTCGAAGCGTTGCATGGGATCTTAATCCTGTCTTTGTACATACATCAATGCCCCCATTTAAGCATACTTTGAATCTGGTCACGCTCCGAAAAGTTCGTGGCCTAGAATCTTGTTTCTTTTGATGATCAAATAAAGAAAGCACCCTTTATAGATCAGGGAGAGTGTAAAAAGAAAGCACACAGTAGGAGCAGTGCAATTTAAATATCAAGGGATGGATTAGAGTTTATTTCTAAAAAGAGTCCTTTCATTTCATTTAAGAAATAACCTCTCTTTATATCTTAGAGACACTTTCTCTTGAAAGTCAAATAATCTCGAGAGCATCTTGAGGCTCCGCCCCGGAACCCCCGATAGGGGCTTTGCCAGTCCCCTAAAGCTGTGTCATATTGTACGGATCCATTAGAAAGCAAAATAATTCGTATATATATATGTATACATACATATATATAGATATATATATATATATATAGTTCTCCTTTGCACACTTTCCTCTGTGAAATGCATAATAAATTCGTTTTCGAGGGTTGGCAATGAAAATAGATAAACAGTAGAAACAGACCATGATTAAAGAAATAAACAGCTTGGTCGATTTGTTTTGAAGCATTATCTTCAAAAACCCAGACAGGTTAAACTGTATTATCCTTAAAATAACGTCTATAATCACTCTCAGATGGAAGATAATACCAATACGAATTGTATTATGCAACGTCTAGACATAAAGGTCGAATCTCAACTTTACTTTTCTTATTCTTCTTTTACATTTCGAAGCGGTGCATGGGATCTTAATCCTGTTTTTTCTACTTACATCAATGCCCCCATTTAAGCATACTTTGAATCTGGTCACGCTTCGAAAAGTTCGTGGCGTAGCATTTGTTGTTGTTGATGATTGTTTTCTAAAAAAAATTCAACATGTATATGAAATATGTTTCCCAATGAAATGTCAATCAAAGAAGAAAAAAGATTTGAAAAACCTTGGTTCAATGAGGAATTAAGACAGCTGAACAAAAAGAAAAGCTTATATTACAAGAAATAATTGAATAATCGTACTGCGTATAGCCTTGCTGCATACCAAAAGTGTAGAAATAAGTTAACAAATTGAATTAAATATGTAAAATATAAGTATTTCAAACAAGGTTTTGTAGATGCTAAAGGTGATACTAAACAAACATGGAAAATTATAAATGGTCTTTTAGGCACAAAGTCTAAGAAAAATGAA